TCCCATCTCTCGTAAGGGCATTCCGTATTCCGACTTTTACCCGGTTATCCATTCCTCAGTCCTTACCTGTTGGCAGGCTTCTTGGTTGTCTGTTACTGGTAACAAGCTACGTACTCTTAAATGTTGTGTTTCCTCGTGGCAGTCCTCCTTCCACCGTAACCGGCGGTGGGAAACAGCTCTGGCGAGGTTGCGTATTGGCCATACTCGCTTAACCCATGGTCACTTGATGGAGCGCCGCCCTGCTCCTTATTGTCCTAGTTGCATTGTCCCTCTTACGGTCGTGCATGTCCTTCTTGAATGTCCTGACTTCCAGGATGAGCGTATGTCTTGCTTTCCGACCGCCCCTCGCGGTCACCTGTCCCTCGATAGAATTCTTGGTGACTCGGATACTTTTGATATCGTTCGCCTTATGCGTTTTTGTTCTCGTATTGGCATCCTTGGTGATATTTAGCGCCCTCTGATTATTTTGCGTCTTTGATGGTGCTACATAGCCTTCCCGGTTTGGTGCCTTCTTTTGATAATTACTTACTTACTTACCTTTCTGGGTGCCTGATCTGGTTGATGGCAGACATAGAATGCTTCCAACCGCATGGGGGGTTTCTATAGGCCATTGTTCCCCTTGCCTCTTCTGATTGGGCCAGGTTCTGGCTTGTGATCCCGGTAGGCCCACAGTACTCCATACAGATGACTGATGCCGAAGTCTGACATTAGCATATCAGCCTAGTAAGCTCCAGGTAGCTTCCGGGTCTCACCCAGAAAATGAAGTTTCATTACATTCAACGCTGATTTTTTAGTAGAGTAGAAATATTTAGGTACAGTATATATGATAATGCATTTTTATTGTTTACAAGAAAAAAAAAGACACTGACGCAAATGCCTCTTGAAGGTCACCTCTTGCAACAAATCCAACGCTCCAACGCACCGGTGTTGATCCCATATAGTGCATTGAATCGAACTTGTACTGTATGGAGAAAGAGCCTGGATATAGGGTAGATACCAGCTGCACTTAAATCTGCAGATATAGCTCCTCTGCACAAGGGGGTGTAGTAAAGCCTTGGCAAAAAATTATAGACCAGTTACACTAACATCACACACACAAGTTTTTGAAAGAGTGATTAGGAATCAAATTTCTAGTTTTATGGAAAATAATGAGCTACACACTCCAGGACAACATGACAACATGGATTTAGAGCGGGAAGATCCTGTCTATCACAGTTACTCAACCACTATGACAAAATCACAGAAGCTTTAGAAAAAAAGCAAAATGCAGATGTTGTATACACAGTCTTTGCAAAGGCACTCAACAAATGTGACCATGGAGTGATTGCACACAAAGTGAGGTTAATGGGAATAACTTGTAAAGTAGGATACTGGATACACAATTTCCTGTCGAACAGAACACAAAGAGTAACAATCAATCAAATAAAATCAAGTCCAAGTGCAGTTAAAAGCTCTGTACTTCAAGGTACAGTTCTTGCACCACTGCTGTTCCTTATTCTCATATCAGATATAGACAAAAATACAAGTCACAGCTTTGTGTCATCCTTTGCAGATGACACAAAAATCAGCATGAAAATTACCTCTGCTGAAAACATTGAAAAACTACAAGCAGATATTAACAAAGTTTTCGATTGGGCAGCAGAAAATAACATGATGTTTAACAGTGATAAATTCCAGGTACTCAGGTATGGCAAAAATGAGGATCTGAAACATAATACAGGGTACAAAACACAATCGAATCTGCCCATAGTAGGAAAACAGCATGTCAAGGATTTGGGAATAATGATGTCCGACGACCTAACGTTTAGGGAGCATAACCAAGCAAACATTGTGTCAGCCAGAAAAATGTTAGGATGGATTTCGAGAACTTTCAAATCCAAGGATCCCATCACAATAGTTGTACTCTTCAAATTACTTGTGCTGTCCCATCTTGAGTACTGCTCAGTACTCATTCACCCCTTCAGAGCAGGAGAAATTGCTGAAATAGAGGGAATACAGAGAACATATACAGCATGCATTGACGCGATACAGCACTTAAATTATTGGGATCGTCTCAAAGCTCTCCAAATGTACTCACTAGAAAGGAGACGAGAGATGCCATATAATATACACATGGAAAATACTGGAGGCCCAGGTCCCAGATCTACAGAGTAAAATAACAACATACTGGAGTGAACGATATGGAAGAAAATGCAGAATAGAACCAGTGAAGAGCAAGGATGCCATAGGCAAAATCAGAGAACACTGTATAAGCATCAGAGGTCCGCGGTTTTTCAACGTCCTCCCAGTGACTAAGAAATATTGCCGGAACAACCATGGACATCTTCAAGAGAAAACTAGATTGTTTTCTAAAAAAAAAAGAGTGCCGGACCAACCGGATTGTGGTGGGTATGTGGGCCTACGGGCCGCTCCAAGCAACAGCCTGGCCCTCCTGGTGGACCAAGTTCTCACAAGTCAAGCCTGGCCTTGGGCTGGGCTTGGGGAGTAGAACTCCCAGAACCCCATCAAGCAGGTATCATTTTCAGGCTTCGGTGACATAGGCTCTGATACAAGCAGTGTTGATGATCCAAGTACAGGTGACTATAGTGTTACTAGGCGGGGTTTTGCTGCCCAGCAACACACCGAGGCAAGCCCCAGCATGTCTCACGGCCTGATGACAAAGACGATAGTGCACCCTCGACATCAGGTGTTCGTGGTAGGCCTATACTACCCAGAAAACACTCATCTCCTGGCATACCCACACACAGCTCTAGCACAAGACGACAGAGCCGTGGTGTTGGCGCCTGTGCTGGTGGTGCTCGTGCTGGTGTTGGCGCCTGTGCTGGTGTTGCTCGTGCTGGTGTTGACGCCAAAACCAAAAACACGGGTGTACTTGTGTGGGAAGATTGTGAGAATTTTGTCCCACACATTGCAACATTTGATGCTACCGATGTTGGTATGACACCCCTATTCCCTTATACTGGTGATGATATGGCATATTTTTATCAATAATTCATGGACCATCTCATTGCAGAGACGAACCGATACGCTCACGGCCTCATTGACTCTGGCATTTTACCTGCCTCTCGCTTGACACATTGGAAAGACACGACTATTGAGGAACTGTATGTGTTTTTAACGTTGCGCACAATGATGAGGCATGCTGATAAACACGTTATCCAGGATTATTGGAGCAAGACAGCCTTGTTCCAACGACCTTGTTCAACAGGTACATGTCACTTGACAGATTCCTGCTGCTTCTCAGGTGCCTGCACTTTGAAAACAATGCTAATGAAGACAGACACTACAGACTGTGGAAAGTATTTAGTGATATGAAAGGAAAGTTCTGTGACTATTTTATACTAGCACAGAATGCATGATTGATGAATCGCTAGTCCTCTTCAAGGGCCGACTGGCATTGAAGCAGTACTTTATATCAAAGCTGTACAGGTTTGGACTCAAGTTTTTTATGTTATGTGTCTGCGAAACTGGTATTGTCATGGACATGATACTGTATTCAGGTACAGAGGTAAACATACCAGGTCAAGATCCACACAGGTTCTCAGGGAGTGTCGTGAAAACACAAATGGAGCCAATGCTGAACAAGGGGCATGTCCTATACACTGACAATTACTACACCAGCCCCTTGTTGACCAGATTCCTCCTAGACCACAATACCGCCGTATGTGGCACTGTTAAGGCCCACAGGAGGGAAATGCCAGTGTTTGGCATTCGTATTGCAGTGGGTGAATGTCAGCTGCGAAAGTGTGATAAAATGTTATCTGTGATCTGGCGGGACAGACAAAAGGTGAATACGTTGACAACTATTCACACCGGTGCCATGTTGGACAGTGGAAAAGTGAACTTTGCAACAAGGTTGACAATGTATAAATCTGATTGTATCATTGACTACAATGTAAATATGCGAGTAGTTGATAAATGTGGTGTGATGGTTGGTGCCGTCGAGTGCATGTAAAAATCTGTGAAGTGGACGAAGAAATTCTTTTTCCACCTCATTGATGTTGCAGTGCCGAACTGTTTAAACATGTATCTCATGAAATCTGGCAAAAGACCCCCAGTACGTACATTCAGTGTTGCTCTAGTGTCACAACTTCTCATGAAGTATGGGGTGGAGGGCAGTGTTGCAACGCTTGGGGTGCCAGCAACAATGCCTCACGCAGTTCCTGACGGACTCAGGAATAAAAAACATCTTGCTGTACACAAGCTTGGTTATATGCCAGGCACAGGCACACGAGACAAGGGTAAACGTACCTGCGTTGTTTGCAAGAACACCCAACGTAGGGAATGCAAACGAAGATGCATCTGCACGTGGTGCGTTGAGTGCAAAGGTTCCCTATTCCCCGTCGACTGCTTCTCTGATTATCTCACACTCGTGCAGTTCTAAGTGTGTTGATAGGGGATGTATATAGTATGTGATAGTGTACAGTGTATAAGTAAGTTATAAATGTACATATTTGAACATGAAATGTAGAAAATATAAACAATGTTTGTGGACACATTTGTGATGCATGTAACAGTGTCTTGGAACAGTACGGATGTTCTACTGCCTGAATATTGTAAACGTGTTCAATATACATAGGATTAGCCAGAAAAAAATATAAATGCATTTGTAATTGTGCTGAAAAATTAAAAAAAAATAGTTGTGGCAACTCGCACTTGTTGAATCTGGTGCGCAACCGCCTCTGGGAGTTTACGGCACAGGCGACCACCAAGCCGTGATATCACACAACATATTCCGGACACCATTGCGACCAAAGTACATTTGTGACATTTTTTCAACATACACGCGATCTGGGAAGGGTATTTAACACTTTTGGAAGGACAAACAAAATTTTGCGAACAATTTATTTTCAGCGCACCACAGGTCTGTCATATTTTAAGGCTGAGCAGTGCAGTGGTTAAAAGCATCCCTAATTTATACATAATTGTTTTATACTACATTAAGTTATTCTGATGTTTAAATTAATAAAGCATTATTGCTGTTTTGTGCTTCCTTACAGCCAGCAAAAGTAACAGCATTGTGGCACAAAGGCACCACGTTTATGGTCAAGTTTGATGACACCGTGTTGACCAGGGACAAGCAGTTGGAAGGACGGTGATTGTGTGAAGCAGTTGATAGTTTAAGAGCTGGTGGTGTTGCACTTGGTAGACAAGCAGGCCAGTAGGTGGTCTTCACTCTTAACAAAGAGAACATTATTAGCATTCTTTAAAATTCAACATTACTGACCTGTACAGTGTTGATGTTGCATTTGAAGCTGTTTTCATGTTTTATAAAACATTTTCATTCAGATATACTGTATGTGTAATAATTTAGATTAGCACAAAATAGGATTTTTTTTTTAATATATGCTACAGTCAACAGTGGCAGAGATAGCAGTGGGACTCATAATAAAAGACAATTGTACTGCTTGAGGATTATAGTTATAAACTGTCTAAAATTTTCCTTACAATATTAAAAATGGAATGCAAGATTTCAAACTCAAAATCATCTTGATGCTTGGACTCAAGTCATTCATATGTACAGAGTATATTATACTCTACCACCACCCTCCCAACCCTAGCCATCCTTCAGTCCTCCCCCTCCCTACCCAGGCCGGGCCTTCATCCTCCCTACCCAGGCCGGGCCTCCATCCTCCCTACCCAGGCCGGGCCTCCATCCTCCCTACACAGGCCGGGCCTCCATCCTCCCTACCCAGGCCGGGCCTCCATCCTCCCTACACAGGCCGGGCCTCCATCCTCCCTACCCAGGCCGGGCCTCCATCCTCCCTACACAGGCCGGGCCTCCATCCTCCCTACCCAGGCCGGGCCTCCATCCTCCCTACACAGGCCGGGCCTCCATCCTCCCTACACAGGCCGGGCCTCCATCCTCCCTACCCAGGCCGGGCCTCCATCCTCCCTACACAGGCCGGGCCTCCATCCTCCCTACCCAGGCCGGGCCTCCATCCTCCCTACCCAACCCGGTAGGGAGGATTTCAAATACTTAAAATCCATAGACTGGGAGGCCTATGAAGCAAAAACAGATTATACTGGTAGACCTCATCCTGGAGAAATTCATGTATCAAGGGCCGGTTTAGATCTTTGGGAAGCGGGGGCCTGGGACACTTCAAATTTGGGGACCCTTAACACACACATGAATTTCTGACAGATATAATAGTGAACAACAAGAGTGCAAGTAGAAAAAACACCTGGAGATTTCCAAATATATATATGTATCTGGTATTATTTAGCCATGATAGTATTACAGAAGAGCTTGACTGTGAAAAAGACTGTGAACAACCATAAACCACACATGTTCAAAAGAAAACTATATTAGGTTCTGAAGTAGACACTTATCTGACTTAATTTTGTCTCAATTTTACTGACTAATAATAACTTTGACTACATTTTCAGTTTGTACTATAGGCTAAAGTGATATAAATTACTGGTGAGGTAAGGTGTAAAATGTTTGTGATGCCTTTATTTCTTTGATTTATGCATATCCCTGCTAAGTTTTTATTGTTATACTGTTGTATAAGATATTACTTATTGTATTCACACTGAATAACAGCCGAGCAAAAGAATAATAAAGAAGTTTACTTTTTACTGTTTCTATTCACAATCAGCAACAAACCATTAAAACAAATTGCACTCAATAAAAGTGCACAACAGATTCCTGGCAAGTACACTTTTGAAGTAGACAGGGATAAGTAAATTTCTTGCATAAACTTTCAAGCCTGCAATCCTTAGTGATATTTACCACCTGAATATCCCGCACATTTGATGGTGCTACATAGTCTCCCCGGCTTGGAGCCTTCTTTTGATAATTACTTTCTAGTCTGCAACAAATCGCCAAGTTTACAAATTATATATTGCACGGGTAATTGGAATTGGCAAGTCAACTGCGCATCACGTCATATGATGTGTTGGAGTACTACGCAAGATTTAAACGGCCCGCGGATACACGGGGCTCACCACACCTTCATCAGGGCTCTTGTAAACAAACGCCATTTTTTAAAAAAATCGTGGGCCAAACTCCCGGGTTCTCAATTGGCCTCAGTATTGAGTGAGCAACCAAGCCTGGCGCACACAGCATGAGCTAACAGCACTGCTGTTCAGCTTGTGACTACAGCATTGCTTAAAAATGCCAAAATATACTTATTCATGCTATTATGTAGCAATGATATTATTACAGAAGACCCCTGACTGTGATAAAACTGACCAGGGTTCTGATAATAGCAGGATTGCGGTGATATTTAGCGCTGTGCGCCATGGAGGGAGGATAGTGGCGATGTCTTCTGACTGTGTGTGGCCACCTTTTATTGACTGCGCTCAGCATACCAGCTTAGTGGTTCGCTATGGTGAGCACAAATGTAGATACTTATATATAATGTGTGTATAGAGGGTATAAACAGCAAGAGAAGGTTTGGAGCCGCCATTTTGGTGAGGGCGGTGGCGTCGTCTGCACTACGCCACCATGCAGACGACGGTGTTGTTTACTGGTTACCACGATGGTCTTTGGGCACCATACCAGTTTATTTGTACAAGTATGGTGAATAAAACAGGTAGATATTTATATATAATGAGTGTATATAGCGTAATAACACCACACAGTATTGTTGGAGGAGAAATATTAGTGCGTCTGGCCTTGAGGGCGGCAGCCATCAGCTGACTGTGTGAGGTCCTACGTCTTTGTGCCTTTACTCACCATACAAGGTGAGATGTACAGTTATGAACAAAACATGTAAATACTTATATATAACGTCTGTATATAAGATATATAGCGTAATAACACCACACAGTATTGTTGGAGGAGAAATATTAGTGCGTCTGGCCTTGAGGGCGGCAGCCATCAGCTGACTGTGTGAGGTCCTACATCTTTGTGCCTTTACTCACCATACAAGCTTAGATGTACAGTTATGGTGAACAAAACATGTAGATACTTATATATAACGTCTGTATATAGTGAATTATAGCAAAAACATTATTGTGGGAGGAGAATGTGGGTGAGTCAGATGACTGGAGGGAGGGCGGGAGTGGCTGGCTGGTACACGGCGGTCACTCCTCGTTACTTTTTGACTCATAATAGCTTAGTGGTTCGTTATAGTGAACAAAACATGCAGATACTTATATATAACCTGTGCTTATAGTGTAATAACCGACAAAGTATTTGTTCACTGATTGATGAACATAATTGAATCAACAATATGCATACCATATTTTTGAGTACAGCAATGATTCACTCATTTTATTATATAAATATATCAAACTACACACTATTGAATAATATTACAGCAAAAAACTATGAAAAATCAATCAGAGACATTGAAATAATTAGGTAATTATCTCTTTGTGGCAACTCCGGCCTGACAGCTGGCGAGCAACAGACCACCTGGGACGCATGCTGAGTCAGCGCCTATAATTTGCCAGACTTCCCCGCCCTATAGCGGGCAATATATGCCACTTACGATTTTTTTATTATTTTTCCCGTGATCAGTGAACACAAATTAACAGATTAGGAAGAAAAAATAATTTTTTTTTTTTTTTTCAAAATGACATGCGCCTGTGGGGATGACAGGATATTAAACCCCGAGCATGTTAAGGGTTAAGTAATCGCCAAAATCAGGTTTTTATCCGATTTTTTGGGGACTGGCTTTAAGATGCGCGCCAATGTCTTTCCATTTTCTTTGTTGCGCCTCGTGGCCCGCAGGCGGCTCGGCACACGCCGTCGGCCCATTGTTTTTGCTCCACTGTTGTGACTGATGTCGCCTCCCCTCGCATCTCAAACGTGTGAACATTTCGGCTATTTTCTGTGGCTATATTTCTTACTGCGGCTTTAGAAACTATCTACGCTTACTCCACGATGGATAGTGATCATGAACAAGGCCCTTCCAGGAAGAAAATTGCGAAAGAAAGGCTTGAAAAGGGCGGGAATTGGGAGTGTAGCTGGAAGGCGTCTGAGCGCTCACTCGCGGCTAATGCGTGGCCCGTCTTCAACTCGTCGGCGGTTGGAGCGTGACCAGGTTTTTTATTTTATATACAGTACAACCTCGATTCAACGTACTATATGGGATCGACCCCAGTTCGTTGGATTCGTTGCAAGAGGTCACCTTCAGGAGGCGTTTGCATCAGTGTCTTTATTTTTCTTGTAGACAATAAAAATGCATTATCATATTATATACTGTACCTATATATTACAGTATTACTCTACTAACAAATACTGATACATTTGTTATTTACCTTATTGTTGGAGTTAAGTCCATCTTGAAGTCTCATGGAGTTGTGAATGCTGTACAGTAAATACATACTGTAGTGTATTATGCCGTTAATAGTGTGTTGAGTAGTTCTGTTGTATGTTGAGTACTACAATAAAGTTTATGAAAACTATTGTACACTAAAATTACTGCAACTTTAATTTTAACACTATATTTTGATTTGTCAAGAGGCTGGAGTGTTCATTCCGCGACTTTGTTGGACATATCAGCACAATCAAGGAACATCCGTGCACCATGTCGGCTCCAAATGCACTCATTGTGTCAGTGATGGCTGACTGGTGGGTGGATGGGCAGGCGGGCAGGCAGGCAGGCAGAGATTGGGAGGGAGGGAGGGAGGCAGGCAGGCATGCAGGCAGGCAGAGCTTGGGAGGGAGGCAGAGGTAGGCAGGAAGGGAGGCAGGCAGGGAGGGAGACAGGCATGGAGGGAGGCAGGCAAAGCTTGGGAGGGAGGCAGGGAAGGAGAGGATGGAGATGGATTGATGGAAGGATGGAGGGAGGGATGGAAGGATGGATGATTTGAGGGTGTGTGTGTGTGTGTATGGGCTGTAGGGGTGGGGGAGGTGTGTCGGTGGTGGTGAAGGGACCGACTCGGTGATAACCCTAACTCTGACCCAGTTAACTTTTTTTAACTTGATTTGTTTCTTCAATTCTGGATGGATGGAGGGAGAAAGGGGATGGATGGAGAGAGAGAGGGAGGGAGGGATGGAGAGAGAGAGGGGAGGGATGGAGAGAGAGAGGGGGATTGGAGAGAGGGAGGCAGGGGGGATAGAGAGAGGGAGGCAGGGGGGGAAGGAGAGAGGGAGGCAGGGGGGATGGAAAGAGGGAGGGATGGAGAGAGAGGAAGGATGGAAGGAAGGAGGGAGGGATGGAGAGTGGGAGGGAGGGAGGGATGGAGAGAGGTATGGAGGGATGGAGAGAGGGAGGGAGGTATGTATGGAGGGAAGAGGAGGGTGGTATGGAGGGAGGGAGGGATGAAACACGCATGGTGCTGTGTACAGGGATTAGACCCGTCCAATCACTCACGCTAGAGTTGTTCCAATAACATACAGTAATTTCTCAAAGAGCAGATGTCTATCATATTACAGTATATTTTCGGTTTTATTTAGTTTAGTTTAATTAGGATAATAAAAAGCTATTAAAACACTGGTTTTAGAAATTATTTATTAATATGAAACTCAAAAGTCATGGGTCACTGAACTATGACAACACACAGACGAAAGTGAGTGAAACCTCACTATAAAGTGAGGTTTACAGTACAGTATTCTCTTATCTGTCCACCCTCACTCATCTTGTTTCATCACAGAAAATGTCTATAAGGAGATTTTACCACATGTAGCTAGGTAATCACGCTTCATCCTTTAAATTAATGTACAAAGATACGTGTGCCCCAAATCAGTGAACGAAAATCATGGAAACTCAGTTGTTCACTTGTGTGGATCACTGACTGGTGTTTGTGTGGACCATTTTGGCTGGTGTTTGGTTCATATGGTTCACTTGTGTGATCCAACTTCTTATGAAGGAATTATTAATTGTAATCTGTGATAGAATGAGAAAGTTTTCCACCACTCTGTGAACTCTGTCCCAAAATCATAAGCTTGTAGTCCACTTGTGTGGTCCACTTGTATGGTCCACTTGTGTGATCCAACCTGTCATATGAGAGAATTATTAATTGTAATCTGTGATAGAATGGGAAAGTTTTCCACCAGTCTGTGAACTCTGTCTGGACATCGTAAGCAAATCCGAACATCCCCCGCTTCGCGCGCTCCCGTGACACCCTGGGACCCAAATCGCACAGTTGAGGGGTGGCGTGCGGGGTACGCCAAAGTGTTAAGGTACAAACAAAATTCATACCGAGATATGCAGAAACAGGATTGGTTCAACAGAAATATGAGAGGGCCAGAGACCAAAAGACAGACAAATGGAATCATTATAGGAAGAGGTCAAACCCTCGAACATACCAGTGATTCAAGGAAGCAAGAAACAATTACACGGCAGTGAAAAAGAGTAGCAGAAATTTTTTAGAGGGATAGAAGACAAAAGTAAAACAGAACCAGGACTATTCTATATATTCACTAAAAGCAAATTGCAGGTAAAGGACAATATTTAGAGGTTGAAAATGGGAAACAAATTAATGTAAAATGAAAAGATAATGTATGAAACATTAAAAGAACAATTCCAAAGTGTGTTTGTGCAAAATTACATTTTTAGAGAACCAGACAATAAGAATTTCAGAGAAAAATATAGAGCGCTTAAAAGTGTTTAGAGATGAAGTGGAAAAAATGCTCAAGGAGCTAAGTAAGAATAAAACAGTTGGTCCAGATGGAATT